CAGCGTGCTGTAGATGGAGGGAAGATGTTTTTAGGAGAAGGACCAAACCATTGGGTCCACCTCAACGCATCATCTGAGAGGAGGAACAAGAATGAGAGAGACTGAAAGACAGCTATGTTTACACAGAGTGCCACCATATGTGACTTCCTCATGCATAGAAATTCAGTTTTTAATGTCTACTGACATGGCAAACGACAATTCCAGGAAGTGCTCGAGAACTTGAACCTGCGTCACAGATTGCAGCTCAATAGAAGAACAGTGCAGTTCTGTTCAGTTCTGCATCTGCAGTATCTATATGGGTCAATGATGTCATGCTATGTTTGTGTCCTTTAATCTACTAATTTAATTTAATAGTAAGTCAAAAAAAAAAAAAAATAAATAAATAAAATAAAATTATATGTGTATATATATATATATATATATATACATACATACATACATACATACTGTGTGTGTGTGTATATTGTGCATATATATATATATATAAATTATAGCTTTTTCTTTTATGCCAAAAATCATTAGGATATTAAGTAAAGATCATGTTCCATGAAGATATTTAGCAAATTTCCTACCGTAAGTATATCAAAACTTCATTTTTGATTAGTAATATGAATTGCTAAGAACTTAATTTGCACAACTTTAAAGATGATTTTCTCAAAAAATTTTTGCACCCTCAGATTCCAGATTTTCAAATAGTTGTATCTCGGCCAAATATTGTCCTATCCTAACAAACCATACATCAATGGAAAGCTTATTTATTCAACTTTCAGATGATGTACAAATGTCAATTTCGAAAAATTGACACTTAAGACTGGTTTTGTGGTCCAGGGTCATATATATGCATGCAGTGAGCTAAATGCACATCTATACAATGAGCGCATTATTATTTTCAGAATTTGTGTTTATTTGGATATTTTCAGAGTGAGAAAACTGTCCTTATATCATAATAAATAAAATATGCATATGAAATATAATATAATATAATATATGCAAATAAAATGAAATGTAAAAAAAAAAATGTACACACACTCAATAATCAACATCAATTATGTTACATAAACCTCATATATTTAGGAAAAATTGCTATATATATATTACATTACAGTATGCTTATACCCCATGACATTTTTAGAAGCATTAAATTATTATTATTATTATTATTATTATTATTATGAAAAATACATTTTTCAAAACCATATGAAACCAACATGCATTTAAATGTATGTATTTTAATAATAATAATAATAATAATAATAATAATGTATTTGTATCAAATAATTTTAAAAATGATTTTTTTTCTCCTTTTCTTTTCTGTTTTGTGGGCACTCTTATATGTCATTGATCCATATTTTCAAACCAATCTGACTGCTGACCTTCGGTTCGGGGTCACTGTTCTTGAGGCCCTTAAACAGGCGTTCACTGACAGCATGAGCAGCCAGTGCCCGAGTCTCGCCTCACTAGCCAAATCTAAACACTGAACAGCAGCCATTGGAAAAATAATTATAGCTGTCCAAGTGAGAGGCCTGTTAAACGCTAGAGTTTGAGGGCTGTATTTTCAGCATCGCAGCCGAGACATTTTCCATCAATATCTGACGTGAAGGTCTTCGAGTGAGAAACGGCACGTTTACGCTACACCAGCAAACAGACTACGCTCTCAAGAACTGTAGCGTTGCTGTCGGTTAATGTTTGTTTATATATAATTTGCATGCTAATTGTGTTAGAGCGTGCGTGCGCCGACCCGTTGCGCTGTACATTTCAACGAGACGCACACAGCTGTACTCACATTAATGCATCATCTAGAGTTCATCTGAGAGATTGTATGTGCTGTGCAGCGGTATCATACATCACTGAAACTATCGTGCATGCATGTGTGTAAAGCAGTCGTGCATGCTGGCATTTATCAAGGTTTATTGTTAGAGGTACACAGAATATTTTATCCAATCATGCAGGTGGCTTAGATCATTTTTAGTCATTGGCAACTGTTTCAGAGTCTGTTCAATATGGCTCACATGATTGCACACACACGACGGATTCACACATACACAGGGTCTAGAATTAGCTTTGTATTGCATGAGCCAGCTGAACATGAATTGAGAATGTTTACTGGCCATAAATATTTCATTGGCAATATTTAGTATTTTAGTGAATATTACATCAGCCATAAAATTGTATTTTTAAAATTACAGTTTAAAACTTTGTGGTCAGTACGATAGATAGATAGATAGATAGATAGATGGATGGATAGATGGATTGTTTGATTGGTTGATTAATTATAAATGCTGTTCATTGTACTTTTTAATCAGCAAAAATCTTGGGGAAAAAATACCACAGTTTCCACAAAAATATGAATCAGCAAAAAACTTTTTCAACATTGCTAATAATCAGAAATGTTTCTTTAGCAGCAAATCAGCATATTAGAATGATTTCTGAAGGATCATGTGACACTGAAGACTATATACACAGAAAACAATTTTTCAATATTTTTAATAATATATCACAATATTGGTGAATTTACTGTATTTTTGATCAAATAAATGCAGCCTTGGTGAGACTTCTTTCAAAAACAAATGATAAATTTTAGTTATTTTTAGACCAAATTGTCCTTTTAAAATAAAAGAAAGGAAGAAAAAAGGAAACTAAATAAATTTTAAAATAAATACACAGAAAGAATATGTATGTATGTATATATATATTTATATATATATATATATATGTATGTGTGTATGGTTGTACATACACTTATATGTAGTTTTTTTTTTTGGTGTTTGGCTTAATGTTATGTTAGAATCATTATTATACTCATACCTTTTGCTCTTTTAATATTTTGAATTGTTTTTAGCTTTATTTTTTTGTTTTAATTTAAATGTTTAGTTTCGAGATGTTGTATGCATTTGTCATTTTTATTTAATTTCTTTTATTTTCTTAAATGTGTATATACTGCATATATAGTATTTATAGAGTTTTAGCTTTTAGTTTTAATTACTTTTTCTTATTTGTAAGTCGCTTTGGATAAAAGC